TTTGTGGAGAGAGATAGAGAGAGTGATGGATTTTGAATAGATTGATTTTCAACAATTATAGTTATAAAAATAAAAATAAAAAGAAGATAATTTCAACAGATAAATAGATTTTTGAATGGATAATTTCAAGAGATAGGAATTTTGAACAGATAATTTTAACAAATAGATTTTTTTGAACAATTTGAAGAGATAGATTAAAAAAAAATTCAACATAAAAAGGTAAAATTGGAAAGAAAATGTCATTGAAAACAACAAAAGAGACTACTCACCACAATATTTCACATAGCGCGTCCTCACCAAAAACGATTATCCAGTGGATCTCACGCCTTACGCAATCTCTAGATTGGATTTGTTGGCAATTTTCTTTATTTATAAATATTCAAAAAAAATTAAATTGATCCGATAATTATAAAGGTAATATTATTCTAGTTTAAAAATTAATGGTTAATTACCTAAAAATCTTATTGATAAAATTGGTGTTCCATTAAGTCCTCCTTCCTTTTTTTTAACCCATAAAATCCTATTTTCAAAATATTTATGTATATATAACTGTTTTATTTTATTTTTAAAGGCAGAAGAAATTGAGAAGCGTCAACTTATTGAGTGCTGATAAAAATTTATTAGGTGTTATAAATGCATCGTATAACAATGTCATCCATCAATCACCAAGTATTATGCCTCATGCCCTAATACAAAATTGTAGACTCCACACTCTCCACTAATCACAAATTTTTTAGTAAACATCATGCCTAAAAAATACTAGATATTTTCTCTTATTCAAGTGATATTATTGATGTGCCATTTTATTTTTGTGTTATTGTTTCAAAACTTAAAAAATTCATAATTTTTATTATGCACATTTATTTTTAATAAAATTTATATTTTTAGAGTCTAGCCAATGAGATCTACTAACAAGACCAATATTGAATACAAAATTTTATAAAAATAAAATATTATTTTTTTAGCAATACAAAACTAACAATTTCTCAATTTTTTCCAGTATTAACTAAGAATATTTTCAATTTTTGATAAACTTCTCAATAAAATTGAGTTAGTTTTTCCAATTTTAAACTGATAATATTCTCAATTTTAGCCTTGAAAAAAATTGAAAAAATTAGACCAAAAAAATATTATTAGTTATGTAAATTAAGAAAATTTACTATTAAAAATGATTTAAATTATAAATTTATAATAAAAATATATATTTTTATTTTTATATAATTTTATTTTGAATATTAATTTTGTTTAATAGAATTCATTGTGTTGATTCTAGAAATATAAATTTTATAAAAATAAATAAATGTTGTCAAAATCATGATGATTTGAGGCTTTGAAAATCAAATTAAATGTTATATCACCATACTTTTTTTATAAATAATTACAAATAATTAGTGTGTGTTTGGTAACGTTTACGTTTTCAGTTTATATTTACAAAAATTTTATAAACTGATTTTTGTTTATTTTTAGAAAAACATAAACTACAAACACGTTTGGTAATTGACAAAATGTTTAAAAAAAATTTAAAATATAAAAAAGAGTGAGAAATGGCAAGTGGTGGAAAGTGGCGGCGGAAGACAGTGGTAGAAAGTGGTGACGGTGGGTGGTGAGTAGCTGGTGGTGGCAGGTGGGTGGTTGTGGTGGGCGGGTGATGGGTGGTGATGGCAGGTGGGTGGCGGTTGTGGTGGTGGTTGGTGGGTTGGTTAGGGTTTGGGATGAGAGTTTAAGAGTTGATGAAAATGAGGGTAATTTAGGATTTTTAAAATTGATGGTGTCAAACGAAAAGAAATTAACGAATTAAAAATATGTGTGGTGTGTATTAAGACAATGGCGTTTATTGAGAGTTTGTGTGATGTGTAAATAGAATTTCTTTTTATTAGCAAAATGAGCTTGTAAGAGCTACCAAACGAAGCCTAAGGGTGAAGCTTATGATGAATTGTAATTCAGACGTCTTACAGATCCCTCATAAAAGAAATTAACCCTTCAAGAACCAAGAAAAGGTGTAACACTATGTGTTTTTTTGGAAGTGCTTGGAAATTTATGTAAAATTTGTGATTGAACCCTTATTGTTGATATTTTAAATTATGTGATAATATGAAACAAAGTTTTGGGGGAAGAAATTGTTGATGGTATAGATGATATGAATTTTGTGATGAAATGATGAAGTTGAGGTTTAAGAGGTTGCATTGAAATATGTTGAATTGCATTGAGCTATGTTGAACTTGCATCGAATTATGTTGAATTGCATTGTTTGGTGTTGAGTTGTGTTGGGTTGTGTTGAGTTGAGTTGAGTTGAGTTGAGTTGAGTTGAGTTGAGTTGAGTTGAGTTGAGTTGAGTTGAGTTGAGTTGAGTTGAGTTGAGTTGAGTTGAGTTGAGTTGAGTTGAGTTGAGTTGAGTTGAGTTGAGTTGAGTTGAGTTGAGTTGAGTTGAGTTGAGTTGAGTTGAGTTGAGTTGAGTTGAGTTGAGTTGAGTTGAGTTGAGTTGAGTTGAGTTGAGTTGAGTTGAGTTGAGTTGAGTTGAGTTGAGTTGAGTTGAGTTGAGTTGAGTTGAGTTGAGTTGAGTTGAGTTGAGTTGAGTTGAGTTGAGTTGAGTTGAGTTGAGTTGAGTTGAGTTGAGTTGAGTTGAGTTGAGTTGAGTTGAGTTGAGTTGAGTTGAGTTGAGTTGAGTTGAGTTGAGTTGAGTTGAGTTGAGTTGAGTTGAGTTGAGTTGAGTTGAGTTGAGTTGAGTTGAGTTGAGTTGAGTTGAGTTGAGTTGAGTTGAGTTGAGTTGAGTTGAGTTGAGTTGAGTTGAGTTGAGTTGAGTTGAGTTGAGTTGAGTTGAGTTGAGTTGAGTTGAGTTGAGTTGAGTTGAGTTGAGTTGAGTTGAGTTGAGTTGAGTTGAGTTGAGTTGAGTTGAGTTGAGTTGAGTTGAGTTGAGTTGAGTTGAGTTGAGTTGAGTTGAGTTGAGTTGAGTTGAGTTGAGTTGAGTTGAGTTGAGTTGAGTTGAGTTGAGTTGAGTTGAGTTGAGTTGAGTTGAGTTGAGTTGAGTTGAGTTGAGTTGAGTTGAGTTGAGTTGAGTTGAGTTGAGTTGAGTTGAGTTGAGTTGAGTTGAGTTGAGTTGAGTTGAGTTGAGTTGAGTTGAGTTGAGTTGAGTTGAGTTGAGTTGTGTTGGGTGGTGTTGTGTTGGTACTCGGACGGGGAGTTGAAAAAGGTTTTTGGGGGTCCACATCTCGCAGTATAATAGCCGGCAAATATGGGGGTGGCTTTGAATTAAAGGTGCCCAAATGCCCTGTCTAGACTTATCGCTGGACAAATGTGGAAAAAATGTTTTTGGGTGTCCACACAGTCCGGCCGTATAATAGCCTGCAAAAGTGGAAAAAATGATGGTTTTGAAAATGTTTTTGGGTGCCCACTGCTTGCTATATAATAGCCGACAAATGTGAGGATGGTTTTTAAAGTTGAAAATGGTTTTGGAGAGTTCACTTCCCGCCGTATAATAGCCGGCAAAATGTGGAAAGTGTTATGAGTTGGGTGCCTGCTATCCCGCCGTATGAAGTCAGTAAAAGGTGGAATGTGTTGAGAAATGTGTTGAGTCGGGGATAATATGTGTGAATTGTGATGAACTTATGAAATTACAAGTTGATGTGTACTTTGGTACGGAGGGGAAATGCATATGAAAATTAGTTGAAAAGAATGGATAATGAAATAGTAATTGGATAAAGGGTTAGTGATAATAAACTCACCAGGTTGTTTGTATCTATAAGGAAAGATTAAGAGTTTTGTTTTTGTAATTAATTGAGAAATTGAATTAAATGGGTTTATTATTCTTGTGTTATGTTGAATTATAATTGATAATACAAATGTGGATGCGATGTAGTTGTTAGACAAGTAGAAGTTGAGTGTAGGAGAATTGTTATTGAATATAAAAAAGATTTGAGTTTCTACATTATAGAATTATAGCAATAATGGATAGACAAATGAGAATAGAGTGTATGAGGGTTATTTTTGGAGTATTAAAGGAACATAAACTTTGAGATTGTGGAGTTATAATAATTGTAAATAATAAAAAGGTAAATGGAAATGAAATGAGGAATACTTTGGAATTGGGTTAATAATTTAAAATGATGTTGTTCCTTAAACATATTTATTTTCAAAAAGGATTTATGGTTTCCTAATGATAAGGGATAATTTTTATGGCTGAAGGTTTTCCCCAAATGCTCAAATTAATTTGGATAAATCTATAGTTGCACTCCACTTTTCTTTTTTTCTTTTCTTTTTTGGTTGTTGTTGTGGTGGTGATAGATTGCACTCCATATTTTGTTGTCCATGTCGAAATTTACACATAGCACAACATAAATATTACTTACTAAATGAATAAAGAGTTCAATTATTTAAAAAAAACGGAGTATATGAATAACACTTCCTTTAATTTAAGAAAAATATTATTTGTTATCAAATTTATTTCAACATTTTATCTCATTTTATACATACATATAGTTATGAAAGAAATTCTCTCTATATAAATCTCATTATAGTTATAAATAAATAAATTTACAAAACCACATAAAATGTGAATAATTTTATGGCGCTCGAGTGATAAAATCAAATTTAGATTTTTTTTTTATCTAAATGTCCAAATTGTAAAATATTAAGGAGTGCTTTGAAAAAATAAAAAATAAAAAGTGACTTTTTGATTTTTAACTAAATTTTTGGTTTTTTTAGACAAATGATTTGGAAAGTCGGTAAAAAGTTACTTTTGATTTTTTTAATTAATATTTGTTTATGATGTCAAATCACAATGAAATGACCAAACTACTCCCATTCAATTTACAATATTTACAACTTTATTCATGTAACATGTTTTGACCCATGAGGGGTAGAATTGTAATTTCACCTGTCCCCGAAGTGAATTTACTATTTTACCCCTATATATATATATATATATAAACCAATGACCAAACCACCGCCTCACTTTTTTTATTCCTCTCTGATCTCTCTCTCTATATATATATCTTTATTTCTTCCCTCTACTCTCTCACTCTCGCAAGCTGCTCTTCTCCTCCTCCTCAGCCTACCGCCGCCACTGTCCGCGACGCTGATCGTCGTCCATCGTCTCCGTCGTCGCAGTCATAGCCTCCGTCCATTGCCTCAGCGCCTTCGTCCATCGCCTCAGCGCCTCCGTCGTCCTTCTCCGTAATCGTCGCAGTCGTCCATGCCTCCGTCGTCGTCCATCGCCTCTGTCGCCTCCGTCCTCAGATCTGTACTATTTGTGTATGTATTTATACATGTATGTGTGTGTTCTGTCCATTTTTTCCGTCCTCCTCAGATCTGTACTGTTTGTGTATGTATTTATACATGTATATGTGTGTTTTGTCCATTTTTTCCGTCCTCAGATCTGTACTGTTTGTGTATGTATACACGTGTATGTGTGTGTTCTGTCCATTTTTTTTTTCTTTTTTTGGGTAGTGGATTGGTTGATGATTTTGTTGATGTTAATGCTGAAAATGAAACAATTGGGGATGATGATGATGATGATGATGATGATGATGATGGTGATGTTGTTGTTCATGGTGTTGTCGAAACAGATTTGGTCTGGGAAATTTTCGGGGTCGGGGAAACACGATCCCCGTTAGGGGTCGGGGATGGGTGATAGGTCCCCTGTCGGGGATCGAGGCCGGGGATTGGGAGATTTTCACAATCGGGGATTGGGGACGGGGAGTGTGGTCCCTGGCCCCACCCCGGCCCATTGTCATTCCTACCTGTCTCGTTGCCATCTCTAGTCATATAGATAAAGAAATGATATTATTATCTCTTTTATATTTACTAGTGAGGGGGTTGCGTGCAAAGCACGCTAACTGATGCCCATTAAAATGCCCATTAATAAAAGGAGATAATAATATAATTTTGTTAATAAATTTGGTATTTTGGATGAATGGATGAACCACAGATGGAAAAAATGAAATGGAATTAAATAAAAAACATTATAGACTATTAAATGTGACAACAAATGAGGGGAATCTTGCATTCATGTTACTTATTTGTATAAATCTGTAGATATGGGAGGAAGACAAGGACTTAGCATGCATTGAGGTCTACATCACACACATCATATTATTATCTCCACACATCATAAGAATCAACACACCATATTTTTTTGATTTTCAAAATAGTACTATAAAAATTAAGTTCAAACTATTCATGCCGGAAGAGAATAAGAGTTGTAGTAGTAAGTGGGTTAGTACCCATTATAAGTAATATTGGATAATTTACTTTCATGAGCAGTAAGAACCAAACCAAACCAAAAGTAATATTGAGTTGTGTCTAGCACATTGTAGTTGCAAACAGGCAACAACAAAAATATGTTACAAACCAAACCACTTGAGCCATAGCAAATCAAACCAAAAATATGTCACATTGTAGTAACCTATTACAAAAATATTATAGTGTAGAGTGTTTTTCTAGAGAGATTTTATAGAGGGTACACTTGTTGCGGCAGATATATGAGAAGCAGAATTTGTACCAATAGCAGCAGTTGAAATATCAGAAGCAACATTTGTACCAACAGTTAATGGAAATAGTTCTTTCTTTGCCTTGGGTTCTATTTGGATAGATTGTCGATGTGGTTTTGAAGAAAGAGTTATGATGGAGGGTTCTGCATCATCATTGTTCACTGATGTGATGACATGTTGAAGCATTACTTGTCCACGGAACTGATATTGGCGAGGCTTTAGTTGAATAATGTGATATTCTGGCACATTTAATTTTGGAAGGGCCTCATTTGAAACTTTTCCATCCTGCATAATATATGTAGAATATTTTTAAAATTGGGAAGAAAAATAGTGAATTTGAAGATGAAGCATGTTAATTTATTTGACCTGTGTTGTATGCTTCATTAGGTCAGTAGATGAAATTGAAAAGAACTTTTCTGCATGATCCTGGAATATTGTTGCCATTATTGAACCTGAATTATCTTTGAGTTCAACTTGGAATTTGACTCTGTTTGTTTGTAGTAAGTTATATGTTAGTTTTATTAAATATAAAACATTAGTTATATTAAAAGGTGTAGGGTTAGTTTGTTGTTACCTCGGTTCTGCAATGACCTCTTTTTTTTTTACAGTGGAAACAGTTGAAAACAGTTTGATATTTTGCATTTATGGATTTGTAACAATTGTTGCAGCTCATGTACCAAAAAGATTGATCAAGTGAGGTGATGGACATAGTTGCTTTGACCCAGTACATTTTCTAGTAACAGGTGATTAGCAATGGTTACTAATGATATATTTAAGATGCTTAAAGAGTAGAAGAATATGTATGAAGCTTACCGCATCTGGAGAAGATGGAATGCTGCTGATGGAAATGATTTTATCTACTTTAGGACTTGGAGTTGTGATGTTTCGAACATGAGTTTCAAGTGGAGAAGGTAAAGTTCTAATAACTTCTTCATTTTGGATGCACCTGCAGCAATTTATTTTGATATTAGTGTTTGTGAGAAATTATTATTTGAGTTAAAGTATTTGAATTAGATGGTACCAATTGTGAAGTTGGTGTGCAGCTTTGAAGTTGGGGTTGAGCACAAAAGCTGATGTTGGTTTTGTTGATAATGATTGTCCTGTAAAAAATAAATTAAAAAAAATATGTTTTATATATTTTTAATATTTAGTATAATGTGGTAAGATTATAATTACCGCGAAACGATGAGACTTTAAGCCTGATTGCAATTAGAGTTGGAAATGATTGAGCAATGGCTTGCAATCTCTCTCCTTCATTAGTGACAAATTGACCCCACAAAGTTAAAACTATTGGCATTAACCTGCTACAATTAAGAGAATTTGTTAGTATTGAAATCAAGTTATACTAAACGCAGGTATACAAAATACTTACTCTTCATTAATGAGTACAATTTCTTGTGCAGTTGTGGTTCCATTTTCTGTTGTGATTGTTTTTGGTGGCTTAATTTGAATAACTGCTGCAAGAATATCTGTTATAGATACAAAAACAATAAGAGTATCTAATGAAAAAGTAACTTGATAATTATTTATGTTGATCTAAGAAAATTACCTATGGATGATGTTTCATTGCCAAGATGGTCAGAGAATTCATTGAATGGTACAAAGTGATATGTTGGGGCATTGTTATCTTCATTACTGTTTTCAACATCTCGAATAAGTGTGCTAGCAGTGATTGTCCATTGCCATTGCCATGATTGTGGTGTGATACGGTATTTTTCTTGTAGCAACTTGACAACAGCATTTGAGACATAGTATGAGTTAAAAACTTTGAAGGTATCTTGGAATTGTTCTATTTGATCTTGATAAAGTATAGCTTGAACTTGTGTACCCTATACAAGTGGTATGTATAACAGAAGTTAATGAGGCAATGAATTATGTAATTATGAATTCAATGAAAAATGTTATTGTTAAGAACCTAAAAAATGAATATGGTAAATATGGTATGTATTATAAAACAAGAATTTGAAAGTGTAACCTCTGCATCAGCCAAAATGAGCCTTTGATATCTTGTTGAGCCTGTTTTTGGGATTCGTGGATTCCACTTTTCCAAAACACGAATCTTTGCTGTCCATTGTTTAGTTGTGCTAGTTATTTTCTTGATAGGTGTTATTTCTTCATTCATCCTGCAAAATTTGTTGTAAGAAACAATTTAACAAGAACTTAATACAACGATAATAGATAATTATAATAAATACAAATAAAATTAAAATTACACTACATAAGAGGAAATTTACCAAAAATTTACAACAAAAAAATGAATTATATACAGCCTGCAAGTGTTAGTAGTTCTTCATAAACAACATTTTTTGTGGTATTGTTATCCAAAGCATGTTGATTTGTTGGCGGAATGAGAACTTTAACATCTGCAGCAGTTGTAGCTCGTGATAGAGCAACATAAAGTTGTCCATGGGAGAATACTGGCTCTCGTAGGTAAAGACCTACTTTTTGTAATGTTTGGCCTTGCGCTTTATTTATTGTCATGGCAAAACATAACTTTACTGGGAATTGTGTTCTAGTAAACTGAACTGGGTATTTTTGATGATCTGAGGGTTGCAATGGTATTCGTGGTATGAAAACCATTTGTCCTTTCCGATCCCCAACAGCAATTTCAGCACAAATGATGAAATCTTTGAGATCTCGACAAATAAGTCGCGTTCCATTGCACAAGCCTATTGAAGGATCTATGTTTCTTAAAGTCATGATCGGACTATTGATTTTCAATTCTAAATGATGAGGTGGGAGACCATTTGGTTCAAGAGAATTCAAGAAGTCTTCATATTGTCCTTGATCATTTGGATCAATTGTCTTGTCGATGCTTGTATATAATCTACCTTTTGTTGGGAATTGTTTGATCAACAAAGCATTTATTTCTTGTACACAATCATTTTTTGGAGTGAGCACAACAGAATTAATCATTGAAATTGGATCTTCTGAGTAGTTCTTGAGATTTGGAAAGACAGTTTGAATCAAGTCTTTGATAGAATTTTCAGCATTTGAAAAATTGTTAGAAATTATCATAGATGCTGGTATTTTGATTTTGTTTTGATCATTGACCGATTCAGATCCATTGCCAATGCGCAATAAGTAATTACTGAAACAAGGATCATGCCTTGCTCGCATATTTTCAGTCAACTTTATTTTCTCAATAGATTTCCATAATTCTGAATTGACCAAGCTAGCATCAATTGAATCATATTTTGTTCCTTTGGGAATGACTGGTGGTATTTGTCGAAAATCACCACCCAAAACTACAACTTTGCCTCCAAAGAGTAACTCTGACTCATTGATATCCTTCAGCATATCATTTAATGCCTCAATGTTTTGCCTCTTGGCCATGGGTGCCTCATCCCAAATGATTAGTTCTGCAGTTCTCAAAAGATTTGCAAGCCCAGTTTGTTTACCTATGTTGCAAGATTTATATGTATCAACATCTATAGGTATTTTGAAACGAGAATGGGCTGTGCGGCCTCCTGGGAGAATAGAAGCTGCTACTCCAGATGTTGCTGTTGCAAGAGCAATGTAATTCTTGGATCTAATTGCTGCCAACAATGCCTTGTATAAAAAGGTCTTACCAGTGCCTCCAGGACCATCTATGAAAAAACACCCTTGATTTCCTGAGAAGACCCTATTTAAGATTTTGTCAAATGCTACTTTTTGTTCCGAGGATAATAGAGAGATAGACTGGTAATCAGCTTCAGAAACAACAATATTCATTTCTTCTTCAATTTCACGACAAGTCTCTTGATTATCAGATGAGAGCATGTTGTCAGAGCAAATATTGAAATCTTTGATATCTTTGCCCATTGATTGAAGAGTTGAATTTATGCTTTGCAGAACTTTTTTGAAAATTTCTTGTTTTGAAAGATTTGTTGTTTTGGCATAATCCTCTGCCATGTAGTCTTTGAATTTTTCCCACAACTGCTTTGGATTATTAGGAGCACAATGAATGAGAATGGTTGCAAACAATCTTCTTAGAGAGTAAGGCATTCGATAATAGATTGCTTCTTCTAAGCATTGTTCAAGATTATTATCTGATTGTAAGACACCACAGAGAAGGGTAGCTTCTCGAAAAGTTTTTGCTTTTCTTCCATTTATGGTTCTCAAGGATTCAAATGATGTAGGGCCTCTGATGTTGTTTAGAAGTAACCTAAGGTAATATCTTTCACCTTGTGCAAGATGTGCTGTGACAATGCGCCCAATAACATTGCCCTTTTTTCGCTCAGTCCACATTCTATCTTGTTGCCACCAAACAAAATGTTCAGGGAATTCCTTATATAAATATTTTCCAAGCTTCGCCTTCTCATTTGACTTGTTCATCAAAAAGAATTCAGTCAACATTGTTTTCGAACGGATGGGATTATTTAACACAGAATTTAGGTCATCTGAAGGATTGAAAGTAACAAATTGTTGGTGTTCAAGGTGGATTTGAAGATGGATTACTGATGGGTATATGTCATTCAAAGAGAATGCATAAATTCTCCACATTGCCTCTGGAGGTGAAATCCATCTTGCGGACTGAAATTGTCGGATTTCATCTATGATTTCTGATTGATTTTCTTGAACAATATGGAATGCAATTTTATCATGGCCTTTGTAAATATACTTGTACAAATATTTGACAGCTTTGATTGTTGAACAAATTTCCACATTAATGTGGCAATCATATTTGGCAAGAAGATATGGATTGTACGGAACTACCCAACGGTTATCCAAAATTTGCCCTCTGATTTTCACTTGATTACCATCAGCACGACGCTTGTATATTGGGCATGAGTCTTTGGAAGATCTTGTTATAGGTTCAAAATTTTTGGGATAATGATTTTTGCATTTCCCATTCTTCATGCAAATGTTGTTTGGATTCATTTCACCACAAGGTCCATGCATCATGTGTTTCACCACCATAGAAAACAAATGAGGATGTTTTTTTTGATCAGGAAGTTCAGCAGATACGATTGAATCATAAGTATCAGGAGATAAAGGCTTTTGTCCAGGTGCTAGAATTAACAATAGATGCATATATGAAAGACCTCTCTTTTGAAATTCAATGACAGACATACGCAACGATTTTCCCAAAGATTTGATGTTTTATGATGTCATCCTTCAGTTGTTCCATTTTTGCTCTAAAAACACGAGAGGTTAAATCTGGTCTATTTTGAGCTTCTTCATTAGGTCCTAACTCAGCTTTAATCTCTGGCCATGCTGGATTACAAGTCATTGTAAGAAAGATATCAGGTTTGCCAAATCGCTGGACCAAAGCCATTGCATCAACATATCGACGTCTAAGATCTCTTGGACTACCTATGAATGACGGTGGTAGTATAACCCTGTGACCAATCTTTGAACCTCTACCTTCACCCGTTGTGACACTGTCTATGATTCCTTGATACAAATCAGCCCTAATTTCTCTTTGTTTGTTTCGAAAGAATTGAAGTCTAGATGTTTCAATCTTGACATACATATCAACACAATTGCAAGATTTATATGTATCAGAGCGGAGTAAGATTGAAGAATCATTGGGTCGTATTTGAAGCTTGTAGCAGTAGTATTCACGACAAGAAATGGTAGTTTTCTTATTCTTTTGTTTCTGAAACAGGTTTCTTGAGTGAACTTTCATTTTTAATTTTGTGCAACTTCTATTTTATTTTTATTCAACTTCCATTTTTATTCAATTTCCTTTTCTATTTAATTTCTTTTTTATTTCATTTCCAAATAGACCGTTAAGGTATAGTGGTTTCTTGAATGAACTTCCAAGTTTGATTTTATGCAACTTCCATTTTTATTCAATTTCCTTTTTTATTCAATTTCTTTTTTATTACTATCCAAATAGATCGTTATGTATAGTGGTTTCTTGAATAAACTTTCATTTCTAATTTTATGCACTTCTTTTATTTTTATTCAACTTTCATTTTTATTCAATTTCTTTTTCAATTGAATTTCCTTTTTTTTTTAATTTCCAAATAGATCGTTAGGTATAA